CTCTGTATCTTTTATTTACGAGTATATATCGATGATTTGTTAGAGGATCTGTTTTATTGCACGAATTAGTTAAATCCGTTAATGAGGGAGAAAGATATATATATGTGTCTCTGTGTATTTAACGAAATTTGTTAAATATCGATCAGAGAGAGAAAGAGAGAGAGAGAGAGAGAAACAGAGAGAAAGAGAAAGAAATAGGCAAGTGGTAAAAGAAAGTGTTACGTGGAAATTGTACACGGATAGTTTAAAAGCTACGTCAAGAACTCCACTTATTCCGGATAAAACGAGGAGAGGAAAGAAAATCCTCACGAAGCCCCGGCAAAATCCGCGGCCATCCTTCACGGAATTTGTTTTTAATGATGCTTCGGAGCTTTCGAGTCTGTAAAGGAACATCCTTGAATTTTTCCACGACGAAGAATTTCCCACGGCGATCTTTCTTCTTCTTGCACCCGAAAATTCGCGCTTTCCGTTTTATCGGCCGAGTTTTAATGATCAATTCGAAGGAACGATGATATTATTATTATTATTATTATTATTATTAAATACTTATATATTAATTAATTAATTAATTTATTTTTTTAATTTTCTTTTTTTTTTCTTTTACTTATCAAACCTCTCATTTTATACACACACACACACACATATATATATATATATATATATTATTTTCCAAACTTGTAGTATTTTTGTCGTTGGCAATAGATTTACAAAGCCAACATCCTCATCCCCTCACCTCCGCCACAGTCCTTATCCACTTTCGAAAAATGGTCGTACATCGCAGAATTATTGTTATCTAGTTTTCGAAACAACCGAGAAAGAAGTTTGAAGATTTGCGTAAAAGAAATCCTTGGGAATCTACGAAATATCAATGACTGAGAGAAACAGAGAAAGAGAGACAGGGAGAGAGAAAGAGGAGGAAGGTATATTTCGCCGAGCTTATTTTTAATGAAGTGAAAGACAAAAGTAGTAGATATATGCCATACCTTTTTTCGTTGTTGAATGCTCTCCTATATTATTTATAAGAGTCCTCACCCTTTCTCTTTCTCTCTTTCTCTCTTTCTCTCTGTCTCTCTTTCTCTCTTTCTCTTTTTCTCAGTTTTGTTTCCTCAAATTATATACGTACAGAAGAGGAATTCATCTCTTTTCCCAAAAGAAATGTCCTTTCCATGGATGAAAAAACACAGACACAAATGCACGTACAAAAGAGACTTATCACAGATACCTAAGTACATACATACGCGATATTTCAGTCTCTCTCTTTCTCTCTTTCTCTCTATCTCTCTCTCTCTCTCTCTTTTTCTCTCGTATGCGTATGTGCGTGCTCTTGCGCGTAGATCTCGACTCTGTGGTGTGCGCATACGTCGCTAGAGACGGAGGGATGGTGGATAATATAATGATGGCGTCGCTCGACGAGGAGGGGCGGGGCTACGAGGGGATCAATATTATCCTCCTCCTCCTCTTTCTCTTCCTCCTCTTCCTCCTCTCTCTCTCTCTCTCTTTCTCTCACATCCAGCAGGAACAGCAGTCGTCCCTTGCTTTTCCCCTCCAACTCACTATTCTCGACTTCACCCTCCAACCATCCTTCTATTCCTCCTCGTCCTCCTCCTTCTTCTCCTTCTACTCCTCTCTCTCTCTCTCTCTCTTTCTTTCTCTCTTTCTCATGTCTTACGATACGAACTGCCAGTTTCTCTCTCTCTCTCTCTCTCTCTCTCTGTCTCTCTCTCTCTATCTCATACGTCTGCGTCTCAATACGCGTTTCATGATATCCTCCAGGGCCAGCAACGAACGGAGTTTATACGCTTGACGTTGAAGAAAATTTTGCATTCATATCTTCTCGTAATACAGATTTTATCTTTGTTTATATTATTATATTATAATCTCAATTTAATATCTAATTAATACATATATATATATATATATATATATATATATATATGTATATATATTCTCGATGATAAGAATATAAAAAATGTATTCGAAATGTTATTCCTTAAATCGAATTGGCAACTTGATAAGACACACCTTACACGATTTCATAGACTGAACTACATATACATATAGTTTATATATATACATGTATACATATATACATATATATATATACATATATATCGTATCCTAGATACATCAAAGAACGATTGTAACCGTTTAGATAGTATTTCGAGTACGCACGTAGCAGAAGTTATAAACGTTTGTTAATCCGTGTCCGATCGAGTTGCGTTAATAGCGGAATACGCGTGACCGCGAAGTGCGGCACGAACAAATCATTGTTATCCGATCGTTCTCGGGCATTTCGATGCCGCTAAGTCACCCGGATTACAATGGCTCGTGAGCACCGAATATCGGATCGTTTCTCTTTATGGATGCCTAGGTAAGTTCGATTCGTGTGTTCGTTGATTCTGCTTTTGTGTGCGTACACAACGCACGTCACATTTAAAAGAGAGAAAGAGAGAGAGAGAGAGAGAGAGAGAGAGAGAGAGAAAATATTACGATAAGAAGAGAAAGAAAAAAAAGAGGAGGAAGAATGGGGAAGAAAGGAACAAAAAAAAAAGGAAAAAAAGAAAGTAGAAGAAGAAAAATAAAAAGTGGAGCTAGGATAATGTCGATCGTTTGAGAAAGGAGAGGAGTAAAGAGGAGAGGAAAGAGGAGAGGAAAGAGGAGAGGAAAGAGGAGAGGTTAGGGGGTTGGTGACCAGTATCCACTGGCCGTGATGGGGAACTGGCATGGGGACAGGGACTGATTGATGAGACACCCTCCGGTCACGGTCTCATTACATTTATATAAGCTTTCGTAGATTGAGCCGTGCGCGCAGAAGCTTACACGGTGTGGCGAGGGGTCGTGATTTGATGAGGTTTTATTGCTCGCATGACGTGACCGGGATGGGGTACGGGGAAGGAGGTAGCCAGAGGAAAAAGGGAGGGAGGAGGGGGGTGTGCTGGGACCTTTGTTCCTAGTGTGACCCGACTGGAAAACATTCGATTCGATTTATTCCCGTCTACCGAATTGGCCCAATTGCTCGAACACAATTTTAAAGTAATCCCGTTACAGACATTACTACCATTATTAGTTTTGCAATCTAATTAGCTCACAATAACAGGCCGTTCTTTTTCATTTCTTTTCGTCGTTTCGCCATTCCTTGTTGTTCTTCTAGCTTTCTTTCTTTTTTCTTTTTTTTTTTTATATCATTTAACAAAACTTTCACTCGGGAACAATCGATCAAAAAAAAAAAAGCATCGATGGTAATAACGTCATACCGATTTTGAACTTTCTCTAAAGCTAAAGGCCTTTTAACACGGTACACTTAACTCTAGTCTAGTATAGTACTTAAGTTCGTACCCAAGATCCGAAAGTTCATTCATCAAGTTTATGACCAAACGGATCGAGTCGAACGGGATCGTTCCCGTCGCCTCGTGCCGAGATTTTGCGATGCTGTTAAAGTTTATGGGCGCGGCCTTGTACCCATCTTCTTCGTCTCTCTCTCTCTCTCTCTCTCTCTCTCTCCTTCTTGTTCACCTTCTCCTCTCTTGTAGCTCTCTCTCTCTCTCTCTCTCTCTCTTTCTGGCTGTCTCTGTCTCTCTTCCTCCTTCTCTTCTTCGCCTTCGGAGTTTATTGATTCTCGAGCCGCGGCTTCTTTCCTCCACCGTAGTACCATTCTGTCCTATCGAGTTTACTCCCTCTCGGCTTACCGTCGTCGGCCCAGTCGCTCCCACCCGTCACACCTACGCCCTTGTTTCGCGAAACTCAATGGCGTCCCTTGTTCCTTCTTGCCAGAGAAAATCTCTTCTATCTTCTCTGGCAGAATACTTCGGTGAGTGAAGTAGAAAGGAGAAAGAAAAAAAAAGAAAAATATATATATATATATATATATATATATGTATATATATATATAAATGAAGACAGAAAGGAGAAAAAAGAGGGAGGGGAAGGGAAGGAAGGAAGGAAGGAAGGAAGGAAATAGGGCAAAGGCCAAAATACGAATCAAATTGGAATTAGAAAAGAGAAAGAGAGATAAAGAGAGATAGAGAAAAAGGTTAGAAAAAAAAAAGGATCGTTATCAAAGCTGTGGCAGCCATATTTGGAAATAATCGTGGAGGCATTACTCTTCATTAGAGTTGCTCTCCCTTTTCCACTTTCAATGACTCGTCGCGGCTCTTAGCGTTTCTACGGTAAGACACGATCGCAATGGCCATCCATCTTGCCAAGGAGTTCTCTCCCAAAACCCACTACTCTTCTGTCTCTCTTTCTCTTTATCTATTTTTTCTGTTCTCTCCCTCTCTCTCTCTCTCTCTCTCTCTCTCTCTCATTCTTTCTCTTTTCTTAGGAACCCTCCTCCGTATGCCGCATTTTCCCGGTGCTTGCCTTACAGTTACGCGAGAGCGACGTGTATCTGAGCGCAACCAGCCGTATAATTGTTAGGGAGGAGAGGTCGAAGCCAGGGAAAGAGAGAGAGAAAGAGAGAGAGAGAGAGTTGGGAATAAGGAGGGTGGAAACGGCTGACGAGCTTGCTTCGAGAAAGCTCGGTATCGAACGCAGGAGTACGAGAGGGACCGCCTTGAATTAACGCCATCATATTTCAGGATGGAGGAGGCTCGTACAGGGTTTCCGTTGCCATTTGTCTCGAGACACGCTCGTCCGTGCCGGCTGCGCTAGCTCATGCTTTCTCTCTCTCTCTTTCTCTTTTCTATGTAGCGCTACATGAGTAATATCACGAGCGAACGAGTCTCCGGTAAATCTGGCGAAAAGAAGAAACAACTATGGGGCTCCGGGCGAGAGTTCCCCTTTCCCTTATATCTCAATATATGAGGGACATTCGTTAACGAGAAATCTTGAACAGTAAGAAGGGAGTACACGGCTTTTGGGGAAGTCGATCAGGGATTTCCTACTTTCGAAAGTTTGAATTTTTATTAAGAAAGAATGAATGTTTTGTTTATACATTGAGTTGTGACAAATATGAAGAATTTGAATTGGTTATTAAATTGGATAATTGTCTGTTGATATAGGTGTGGTTTAAGAACAGACGAGCAAAATGGAGGAAGAAGGAACGGAACGCTTTGAACGCAGCAGCCGCAGCAGCAGACTTTGGAAAGTCCGGTTTCAGTACGGCCAGCTTGAATGGATTTATCGGACAACCATTTCCAGATCCAGATACGCTTTATAGCTCTTACAGCACGTACAACAATTGGGCGGCTAAAGTACCGTCGCCTCTGAGTAGCAAAACATTTCCCTGGGTGAATACGTTGAGCTCGGTTGTACCGACCGCCTCTCATCATCATCATCACGCTCAAGTCAGTCCCGTGAATTGCTTCAACGCATCGACGTCGGTTGCTGGAAGTCACGTAAGCGGTATGTCGGTGTCCGTCGGCCAAGCCGCTACCTCAATGTTACCTGGAATGAGTTCGGGATTGGGCGTAGCGGGTTCCCCGGTAGCAGCATCGAGCGCAGCGTGTCCTTACGCGGCACCAGCGGCGCCACATCATCCTTACGGTCCGCCGGTTTACACGCCGCATCATAGAACAGCCGCACCGCCCGAAACCTGCACGGTCATGACGTCGAGTAGCATTGCCTCGTTGCGATTAAAGGCAAAGCAACACAGCAGCGGTTACGGTGGTTCCACTGGTGGATCATTCGGTGGTGGTGGTGGTGGTGGTAGTGGTGGTGGTGGTGGCGGTGGTGGTACTACCGGTGCAACTACCGGTAGTATAAGTCCAGTGAGTTCAAGGGCGTCCTCGGTCGGTGGTGGTCTCAGTGCCTGTCAATATGCCCTGACGACCGGTGGCGGTGCGAATCCCCATTCGCCTGGTGGCCCCGAGGCTCATGCGACCGCGAGAGCTCAGGTCTGAGGCGAAGCGGGGGCTACGTCTAGCCCCCATCATCACGGTGTACCTTCTAACTCCGGTAATAGCATTGGTGCTAGCGCGGCAGCGGCCGCGGCGGCCGCAGCTGCCGTTGCGGCAGCCAATCAAGTCGTTCTAACTGGTGTTAACTCTCAGCAACAGACTAACGACAATCAGCTGAGATCGCAGGAGTGACCCAGGCCTAGGTCCGCCGCCTCGCCGACTTTATCGTCGACGCCCTCTTCGACCACCTCGCACCCGCATTACCTCATATACGACGAAGATGGGACCACGGCGGACCAGAAGATAGAAGAGGAACGAACGGCCGCTAATCTCGAGAGTGCCGCAACCCTACAAAACGAACAAATAGTTTCCAGTACGGCCGGAATCGGCGTTGGCGTTGGTATAGGTGGATCCGCTAATGCCACCACAGCCGCTGCCACGGGACTGGCCGGTTATTGGCAACACGCAACTACAGCTACCAGTTACTGGCCATCTCTATTCGACTGCTGGACCACACCACCAATCTCTTCCGGTTCTCAGAGTCTTTCTCTGCCTCGTGACGACAATTAAATCGTTCATCTTATTACGAGACTTATTGTGCCGAATTACGATTCGCCGCCATTGGCTCCTGACAGTTCACTAATTATTTATCTCTGGTAAATGTATCCTCTTCTTCTTCTTCTTCTTTTTTCTTTTTATTTTTTTCTCTAACCCCGTCACCCACCCACCCCCATCCTCCATTTCATTCGTTCATATATATATATATATATATATATATATATATATATATATCTATTATTTTGAGATTAAAAAGAGAAAACCCGTGCGTGCAATAATTCTTTTAAGCCTTCGAGTGCAATCTCTTTCTCTTTATTCTTTTTATTTCTTCATTTATTTTTTCGTTTTCGTTTTCTTTTCTTTTTTTTTCTTTTTTTTTTCTTATTTTTTTTTTTTTCCTTTTACTCCATCGCATATACACAGGCTTACCAGTTGGGAAGAGAAACGAAGAACACGGTGAATCAGTGAATCTTATTACTCGTCGTTCCTCGTTAACCGTTTAACTGACCGACGCAACCGTTCGTAAGATTGTATATGACTTTTCTGGTGTGGTTGGAGAGAAAGAAAAAAGGAAAAGAAGAAAAAGAAAAAGAAGACAAAGAAGAAGAAGAAGAGGAAGAGGAAGAGGAAAAAGAAGAAGAAGAAGAAGAAGAAAAAAAAACAAGAGAGATAAAACGAACTAATAAAATAATGTATAAAAAACGAAAAGGAAGTATTTAAAAATCGCTCATCCCGAAAGATTATCTTCGTTCGTTCACGAAGTGTCTCAGTCAATTGATTGACTGGTGGTGGCCTTTCGACGATCATTCGCGTCGTTTCAGGAGACGATCTTACCTTAAATCATTGTCCTTTTACAAAGATAATATAAATATCGGTTCATCCGTATGAATTTCGTTGGGGTGGGTCTCGTGATGGTGGTGTGAAACGAAAAAAAAAAAAAAAGGAAAGAAAAAAAAGAAAAAAGGAAAAATGTAGAAAGAAAACGAATCCTTACCCTCTCTCCTCCCCTATCCCCTACCCCATCCCCTCCTCTCCTACTCTTCATACCAAGAAGGAAAAAAAAAGAAGAAGTTCAATAATTTTAATACCTTCTTAATTTGCTCCTTAAACGACATTCGATCGATCGTGAAAGACCGATGAGCAGTCTATCGAGACGGATAACGAGGATCACACAAGGCGAGCTCACCTATTCATTATTCTCTGTAGATATATGTATAGTAGACGCTGATTTATTGCAAAGGCTAAGTGTATACCAAAATCGTGTATATCGTAACGTCGTAATGACTACGACGACGACGACGACGACGACGGCGACGGCGACAGCGACAACGACGAAGACGACAACGACGATTATTATAATGACGATGATGACGATCGACAATGCTCATAATGGTAATAATGGTTTATAATAACGATGATTACGATGACGACGACGACGACGACGACGACGACGACGATTGTTTATGTTGGTAATTATGACAATGATGATAATGATGATAATGATGATTATGATGATGATGATAATGATAATGATAATAATGAAAAAAGAAAAAAAAGGGGAAAAAAAGAAAACAAAAAACAGCTTAGTTCTTAAGTAAGAAATAGAATGAACGAACTTTAATTATGGTTTGAAAAACGAATTTTACGATGAGCGTCGCGCTTTGTACAGTGTATGAAGTTTCAAGAACGAGGTTAAAGAACGAAAGGGAAAAAAAAAGAGAGAGAGAGAGAGAGAGAGAGAGAGAGAAAAAAAAAAGAAATTAAAATAAAAAATTAAATAAAAATTAAAGTATAAATTAAAATAAAATAAAATAAAATAAAGTAAAATAAAATAAAATAAAGTAAAATCACACTTCCGTAGACGTACTTTATAAATAAATATTAATTAACGTTATCGAGTAATTACGAAAAAGTGGGTCGGGGTGGGAGGGAAGGAAGGAGAGAGAGAGAGAGAGAGAGAGAGAGAGAGAGAGAGAGAGAGAGAGAGAAAATGTTGAACGTGGTGGGGCGAGGGTGAATGGGAGGAACGGAAGGGTGTCGACGATAAATCCACACGCACGAGGACGCGAGATCCGATTTTTTTCTTTCTTCTTGTTTTTCTTCTTTCTTTTTCCTTTTTTTTTTCTTGTTTCATTTTTTCAAG